AAAAAAACAAAAAAGATAAATGCTGGCAGGGGCGTGGTGAACAGGAAACTCTCCTATATTGCTGGTGGGAATGTAAATCGGTCCAGTCACTGTGGAGAACAACAGAGATTTCTTAAAGATCTACAAATAGAACTACCATATGATCCCATAATCCCAGTCCTTGGTATCTACCCAAAAGACAGAAGAATGCTTAGTAGGAAAAGTGCTTGTACATCGATGTTTATTGTGGCATTATTCACAATGGTTATGACATGTAACCAACCCAAATGTCCACAAACAGAGGAATGGACTGAAAAAGTGTGGCATATATACTCCATGGATTACTACTTATCCATTTAAAAAAAAAAGGAAAGGAAAAAACCTGGCTTTTGACCAAAAGTAGATGAATATGGAAGATTTACTGCTGAGTGAAGCACCCAAGCTATGAAGGAGAGTCGTTGTATGTCTCCACTTAATATATACTGAGTGTCCACACTCTACTGCTGAAACTGAATGACTAGAGGATATAGAAACATAGAGAATGGTTATACATACCAGATACAGTGTGGGAAGAGGGTGGGAGAAAGAGGAGAGTCTGAGGAAAGACATTAAGGAGAAAAATAGAGAGGCAAGACATTTATGGGACAAAGAAATGGGTTATTATCTGTTGAAGATAATGTGTATAATAGTATTCCCAACTAGACTGGTGAGAAATGTATTCATATTGAAACATTCACTTTACGAGCTAAGTGACATATGTAATTGAATGTATAAATTAAAAATTGAAATATAAAAAAAGAATGGAGATGCACAAATACTTCAATTGCCTAAGTCACATGTCACTGCTAATAACTCATTCATAAAAATATGAAGGTTTAAACCAATTGTCAAAGAGAGTACAAGGATTTACTTACTCCCAGTGTGTTTAGAATAGGATGGAGAGGACAGAGGAGGAAAGGGAATACAGTCGCCTTCCATATCCAGGTTTCCTTATCTGTGGGTCCCACATTCATTAAAAAAAAAATCAGTAGTGCCTATGTACACTTATACAGACATTATTTTCCTTGTCATTATTCCCTAAACAATATAGTGTAATAAATATTTATATAGCATTTGCCTTGTATTACATAATATAAGTAATCTAAAAATGACTTAAAGATATGGGAAAGTATGTGCAGGTTATATGCAAATACTAAGACATGATCATCTGTGATTTGGGTATCTATGGTGATACTGGAATCAATCCCCCTCAAGTACTGAGAGAGAGAACTGTATATTAAGAAAGAGAGGGTATAGAACAAAGGCATATGTTTGGTAATACAGGGTTGAGGGTCAAATTGTGAAGAAATTTGATGCCATGTTAAAGAGGAATGTTTAAGCCATTATTTAAGCAATATGCAACAAGATTTTAAAGCTTGAAAATAAAAAGATAACAAGTGTTTTGTTTTGGTTTTTAATTTCCTATAGAATACATGCATTCACTGGAGAAATAAAGAAAGAGGGAAAGTGAAAAAGCAACCTTCTACCCATGGGGATGGTCATGCTGCAATCTCTTATCCTCCATTTCCTCCTCCTGTCAGAATTTTGGGTACCCATGTACACACACCTGGCCTGGCATGCTTTCTAAGCCTCCCAGTCTGGGACTCAAACTAAACAGTCAGTCATTTGGAATCTAGGCACCTTAACCACCACACCACTGGCTGGCTGCAGATGTGGTTTTGTTTTTTTATTTTTTGGAGAGGTTTTCGCTATAGGGCGCGTGTGCTCGCCAGAAAGACAGAGAGAGACAGGCAGACAGAAAGTGAGAAATCACCAGCCACCAGGAGGGATGGCCACGCTGCAATCCCTTCTCTTCCCTTCTCCTCTCGGGATCTTGGGCACGTACGCCCATGCACCCAGCATGAGTTTAAGCCACTGGGTCCAGGACTCGAACCGTGGTCGACTACATGGGAGTCCAGCAACATAGCCATTATGCTAACTGCTGGTCCCAATACATCTTTTAAAAAGATATTTTACATTTGTTTAATCCATTGTTCCATATATTCTCTATAACATCAAATATTCTATCATTGTAGCATTCTATATATTTATTTTATGCACATTCAACCAAAAGACATGCAAAACTTTCTAAGTTTAATTATTTTAAATGATCATTCTAGAGTGTCTTGCCTTACAATGATGCTTAATCAGATGCTTTAATACTTATTTCAATGCTCATGTTTCTTAACAGTGCTAGTCATAGTTTTCATAGAGATGATGCTTAAAAGTTATCACCAAATTCTGACCCAGAAGTAAAAGCATAGTAAAAAAAATTCTTTTCTAAATATTGTTTCTTTTTTTTTTTTGAGGGAGAGATTTTTGCTATAGTGTGTGTGTGCTGGAGAGACAGAGATAGAAAGCAAGAAATCACCCCCCAGGGGGGATGTCCACACCACAATCCCTTCTCCTCCATTCTGCTCTCAGGACCTTGGGTATAAAACGTACATGGGGACCAGCAGTTAGTGTAATGGCTATGTCTCTGGACTCCCATGTAGTCGACCGCGGTTCAAGTCCCG